TATTTCCTATTTACAAAGGGCTTTTGGAACAGTCACATTATACAAGTAAGTTCATCCTAACACCCTCCAGAACACCCTCCACGGTTTCAATCGTCAACTTTTGCAAATGAAGCTTCCTCTGACAAGGCAGTAGATGAACCATGCTTCTGCCTCACATTTCCTTTTCACTTCTCTTGTCAGAGGCTTTTGTACTCTTTCTAGTTAATGAAAGCCATGTGATTATTTTCAGTTTACTTTTGAGTTACAGAATTTTAATCTCTGTCAATGGTTTCTGATTTTTTTTCTGTTGAGGATTTTTTTTATAATTTTAAACCTTTAAGTCGTTGTACAAAAGAGTTGCCATTTAACAAAGCACTTTATGAATACAATGCACCTTCATCAATGTCACCCCTTTCAATATTCTCACCTATCCTTCACCTAGCCATTCCTTCCCTCACTTTTCTTAACTTTGTAGGATATGCATTCTTAACTTTGTGGGCTATGTATGCTTGATTTTTTTTATTGCATTCTCCCTCTCTTCTCTTGTTCATTTGTCTACACCTTTCCCCTTGATCCCACCCATGTCAAAGTACTGCTTCTTAGTATTATTTTGTTAAACTGATTTACCTTTCTAAGGAATTACACTATTTGAGTTCTCCCATTAATCTACCATATTTCAATTCATACATTTTTAACAATTTTGTCCTTGTATATAATTGTGAATTTATGGAAGTTAGTCCTAATGCTATTTGTTATTTCTGATACAGACTTAAACTTAATTTGATGATATTAATTGTGCACATGCACCCTATACTGGGACTTCAGGCATCAGCATTGATCTTTAAAATGCTGAACACTAATACAGAATCCAGTGATGAGGCCTGTGAAACATGACACTGATTAACTCATTTATGTACCAGAAATGAGAGGCATTTTGCATTCACTTTGGACTAGAAATGGAAATTTCAATTACTGCCAAGCATTTAGTGTAAAAGCCCAATGAACTAGATGACACATGGTTCTGGTTTTGATTTTGGTTGATTTTTGTCCTGGGGTTTGAACTCAGGGCCTGGGTGTTGTCCCTGAGCTTTTTCACTTAAAGCTAGTGCCCTACCACTTTGAGCCACAGTACCACTTCTGGTTTTCTGGTGGTTAACTGGTGATAAGAGTCTCAAAGACTTTCCTGCTGGGGTTGGCTTTGAACTGTGATCCTCATATCTCAGCTGCCTGATTACAGGTGAGAGCCACCAGCACCCAGCTCACTAATTGATTCTTATCTTAGAATGTACCATTTTCCTAATGGGAATGAATGACCTTTTGATAGTTTAACTGCTGTGAGTCTGGGACATACTTTCTTACACATCTGCATTCTCTCTTTCTCTCCTTTTTCTTTACTTCTGTCTGTCTGCCTGTCCTTTCTTCTTTCTCCTTCCTTTTCTCCTTTCTTCCTTTCTTCTTTTATGTTTTTCTGATCCCAGGGGCTTGAATTCAGGACCTCATGCTCTCATTAGTTTTTTTTTTTTTTTTTCAGTCACAGCTGCTGCCCTACCTTTAACCACACATCTAGTCCAGTCCAGTTGGTTGCTGGTTAATTGGAGACAGGGTCTCTCCAACTTTATTTCTCAGACCCACTTCAAATGGTGACTCATAGATCTTAGTGGCTTGAGCCACCTACATCCAGCTTCCATATTTCTTTCCTTTTTTTTTTTTATTTTCTGTTCCTGGAGCTTGAACTTGGCCTGGGTGCAGTCCTTCAGTTTCTTTGTGCTTAAGGCTGTGGCTTTACCACTTGAGCCACAGTACTACCACTTTAGCCACCTTACCGTTTCCAGCTTTTTCTGAGTAGATTCTTGGAGATAAGAGTCTAATGGACTTTCCTGCCTGGCTGGCTTTGAACCATGAGCCTCAGATCTCATCCTCCTGAGTAGCCAGTATTAAAGCATGAGCTACAGGTGCCTGGCTTCACATTTCTTTTTTAATGTTTTATTACCTTCTCTTTTGAGTTACTATGAATCTTTTTTTTTATTGTGAAAATACTGTACAGAGGGGTTACAATTACATGAACAAGATAATGAGTACATTTCTTATCAAACATTGTAGCTTCCTCCTTTGTTTCCCCTTCCCATCCCTTACTATTCCCCTCCCTCTCACCAAAGTTGTCAAGTTTGTTTTTGACATAACGACTTGTACATCTCATTGTTGTAATGGGTCCACCTGTATCCCTATTTAAACGATTTTTCCCCCTTCCCTCCACAAATTATACCGACATCAAATATAGTGAAAGCAGGGGTTATACCGCGGGGAAGGACATACAAAGCAACAAAGAAATAATCTTATAAATTTATTAGAAACAATCGCATGAAAGAAAAAAACATTTGAATACATATCTTAGGGTTCATTTCCCTAACATGAATCTTATTTGTAGTAATTACCATTTACAAAATAGATTGAGGAAAGCAACTTTTTCTCTTAAATCATTTTTTGAAGTGACCATAAACACCATGCATTCCATTTTTTACTGTCATATGTAGATATTATTTCTATCTTACTTACTGTCTGTGATTATCTACTAAGATAGAATTTTCATTTCTCTAAGGAAACAGATAAAATAGCATTCCTTCTGATGTTTAAAATAAAAACCTCATGTTGGGAATGTGGCTTAGTGTAGAGTGCTTGCCTAGCATGCATGAAGCCCTAGTTTCCATTCCTCAGTACCACATAAAAAGAAAAAAAAAAACAGAAGTGGCACTGTGGCTCAAGTGATAAAGAGTGCTAGCCTTGAGCAAAAGAAGCTGTCAGTGCCCAGACCCTGATTTCAAGCCCCAGACCTGTGGGGGGCAGGGAGAGGAAACTCAATAAATTTAAATTTTCTAGCTGATGGCTGGTGGCTGATATTAGTATTCTTATCTACTCAAGAAGTTAAAATCTGAGAATTGTCATTGAAACCAGCCTGGGCAGAAAAGTCCATGATATTCTTTTTTTTAATTTTTTTTATTGTGAAAATACTGTACAGAGGGGTTACAATTACAAGGGCAAGATAATGAGTACATTTCTTATCAAGCATTGTAGCCTTCTCCTTTGTTTCCCCTTCCCAGCCTCCCCCCCTCCCCCCAGTCCATGAGATTCTTTTGTTGTTGTTGGTCGTGGGGCTTGAACTCCAGGCCTAGGCGCTGTCCCTCAGCACTTCAGCTCAAGACGAGCGCTCTACCACTTGAGCTACAGCGCCACTTCTGGTTTTCTGGTGGTTTATTGGAGGTAGGAGTCTCATGGTCTCTCCTGCCTGGGCTGGCTTTGAACCATGATCCTCAGATCTCAGCCTCCTGGGTAGCTAGGATTACAGGCGAGAGCCACCAGTGCCCTGCTGTCCTTGAGATTCTTAATCCCCAGTTTGCCACCTATCAGCCAGAAGTGAGTTGTGGCTCAAATAGTAAAGTACCAACCTTCAGTGAAAAATCCAAGCAAGTGCACTAGGCACTGAGTTCAAGCCCATTTCTTTACATAGTTCTTTTAATAATTATAATTTATTATTTCCCAAAGGTATCTTTTATAGCATGGTGTTTAAAACTATTTATTCACTCTTGAATTAAAATATGACTTTACTTGGGCTTGTAGGTTTTTAGGATACTTCATTATATGATGACAAGGTAAATATTTTTCTGCCATATATAATTATTAACATCTTTTTGGAGGTAGAATTTGATGATAAGAGGACTTGCATACCATACATGAGGCTCTATGTGACATATACCATTAAAATGTATTTCTATTGTGGCATTTGAAAGCAGATGCAGAATTTGTGTTTGAAGCATATATGTTCATGTGCAAGATCCTGAAGAACATAGAAATCCATCATTTGTTAGAGCAGAACAGAGCTGAAGTCTGGTCTGTGGATATCATTGGCATGTCTCTTACCTCTTCATCCTTGGTCCTCACTTGTACTTATGGTGAAATATACTTTGGCTCCACTTTGGCCACACTTAGGGCTTCACAAAGTGAAAGTATCCTATTTGTTTATTTGTTTTTGTGCTAGTACTGGGGTTTAAGCCAGCACCTGGGTTCTCTCGTTTAACTTTCATTTCTTCAAGGCTGGTGCTCTACCACGTGAACCATAGCTCCACTTCTGGTCTTTATTCAGTTAATTGGAGATACAGATATTAAGGACTGTCCTGCCAGGCTTTGCCCCATAATCCTCAGATCTCAGCCTCCTGTGTAGTGAGGATTACAGGTGTGAGCCATCAATGCCTGGCTGAAAGTTTCCACTTTAGTCACTACTTTCACTTCATTTTTTTAATCCTATTTAATCTCTGTCCCCAGGGACTCTGTGTGTGTGTGTGTGTGTGTGTGTGTGTGTGTGTGTGTGTGTACATATGTATGTGTGCATGTGCATGCATGTGTGTATACATGTGTGTATACACGTGTGTGTGCATGTGTTGATTCTGGGGCTTGAATTTAGGGCCTAGGCACTGTCCCTGAGCTTTTTTGCTCAAGGCTAGCACTCTACTACTTGAGCCACAGCTCAGTTTCTGGTTTGTTGATGCTTAAATTGAAGCTGAGTCTCACAGACTTTCTTGCCCAGACTAGCATAGAAACACATTCCTTAGATTTCAGCCTCCAGAGAATCTAAGATTACAGGTGTGATCTACAGGCCCAGAGACTTTGATTCCTTATAAATTTTGAGTGAGAGGCTGATGGTATAGCAGTTCTACTTAAAGTAGGTTTACTGAGATTTTGTGGAAGGAGCCTGCAGTGGCGTTGTGAAGAGGTGTAACATTATAGTTACAGCATATAATATGCAAGCTTATGGTATGCAAAATAAGTCAGACAATTGTTCATTTACATGATTAAGATTATATAAGGCACATATTTTAAGAAATGTGATATTTTCCTATTATCCCAATGAAGGAAAGTAACTTTCTCTTTCTCTTCAGAGATACAGAATCACTTGAATAAACAAGTCTTCTGTTCAGTACAGTGAATGAAGAGGTTTGAGGGCTTCCAGTGAATCAACACTCAATCTGGAAATGGCATCACTCCATGGTCAAGTCTACTGGTCCAAAAAAGACATTTTGATGCTGCTGGACCATATGGAGAAGAACCTCCCATTTGATGACAACCTAACATTCAAAAAAACACAGTCATGTCTGGACTGGGGGAAAGTAGCTTTTAAACATTTTTCTGGAGAGACGTGCAAACTCAAATGGTTGGAGATTTCCCACAAGTTGAGGAAGTATCGCACACTGACAGATTTAGTCCAAGAAGCCAAAGAACATATTAAAAACCCTAACAGAAACAAGAAATACGAAAAGCATCCAGATTTTCCCAAAAGGCCACTGACTGCTTACATACGCTTTTACAAGGAGAAATGGGCCAAATACTCCCAAAGGTACCCTAAGATGAGTAACCAGGATCTGGCTAAGGTTTTGTCCAAGAAATATAAGCAGCTTCCAGAGCACATAAAACAGGCATATATTCAGGATTTCCAGAAGGAGAAACAGGAGTTTAAAGAAAAGCTGGCTCAATTCAGGCAAGACCACCCTGATCTAGTACAGGTTTACAAGACATCGAATGTTTCCAGAATTGTCAGGCTTCCTCCAAAAACTGAGGACTTTTCTGTGAAGGTGAAATTTCATGGAGAGCCCAAGAAACCCCCTATGAATGCATATCACAAATTTCACCAAGATTCCTGGTCCAGTCGGGAGCTTCAGCACCTGCCCCTGAGAGCACGCATGGTGGAGATCAGCAGGCGCTGGCAGAGAGTTCCACAGAGTATGAAGGAACATTATAAGAACCTAGCTGAGATGCTGCAAAAACAATACAGGGTAGACTTGGATCTCTGGCTCAAGACATTGTCACCTAAAGAGTATGCAGCTTACCGAGAGGCAGAGGCAACTTATGGTAAGAGAAAGAACTTGAGCATGACAGGAGGCTCAGACCCCAAGTTCCCACGACCAGATGTGCAGTTGTCACCAGGCAAGGATCCCAACGATTCACCTGAAGAAGATTATGTATCACAGGCTCCAGGACTTGACTGGTCGGAGACTACACTGATCAACTGTGGTGGCTCACATGAATCAAAACAGAAGATGAAGGAGGATATAGAAGGGGGTGAAGGAAACAGCAGCTCAGATTCCAGCAGTGGAGATGAGGATTCATCTTCAGAGAAATCCTCAAGCTTAGACTCTGTCTGATCTTTGTGAAGATACCAAATAGTTGACAACTGTTAACACTTAACACATGTGTTCTATTTTTTTTGTGTGTGTGTGTCGGTTATGGGGTCTGAACTCTGGGCCTGGGCACTGACCCTTAGCAATTCAGCTTAAGGCTAGCACACTAGCACTTGAGCCTCAGTGCCCCTTCTGGCTTTTTCTGCTTATGTGGTGCTGAGGAATCTAACCCAGATCCTCATACATGCAAGGCAAGCACTCTACCACTGAGCCATCTTCCCAGCCCCATGTGTTTTATTTCTAAAACTTTTGTGTGGAATAATAAGAATAGTGTTGAGCAATGGGAGTTTTGTTTGATATTTACCATGAAAATGTGCTGTCACATATTTTAAATAAATTACGTTACTAAAATGTCTATTTTGTCGTGTTATTTCTTACATAGTATGTGTTTTCTTCATGTACCGGAGTCTTTGTGTTTTTTTAAAAAGTAATTTTTCTTGAGATTAGGTGATTATATAAATTTCATATATTTCACAGTATTGTGGAATAGTGATACTGAGTTAAAGTCACAAACACATTTAACCTTCACAAGGCAAATTGTCATTACCATGGTCTATAAAGTTTGTGAATTCTGTGAACTTTGACAATTCCACATCAGGTGATATTTACATTTCTTTCCTTTTGCTTAGTGTAAGCTGTTCCCACTTTGCCTTTCATTCCCTCCCTCCATTCCCTCTTTGCCTCTCATTCCCTCCCTCCCATCGCTGCCTTTGAGTTGCTTAGTTCATTTTCATCAATGTCCAGTGTGCTGATGGGGCCTGTGTGTTTTTGTGCTGGTATTAGGGCTTTAACTCTGAGTGTTGGGCTCTTCCTTTGATTTTTCACTTATATGGCACTCTACCATTAGAGCCACTGCTCTACTCCTGTTTTTATGATGGTTAATTGGAAATAAGAGTTTCATTGGTTTTTCTGCCCTGGTTGGCTTTGAATTAGTATTCTTAGATCTCAGGTTCCTGCATAGCTAGAATCGCAGCTGTGAGCCACCAGTACCTGACTGTTTGTCACTTTCACTTTTTGGCTGATGCTTTACAACCTGAGCCATGTCTCTAAGCCAGTTTTTTTTGTCAGAAAATTGTATATGGATCCTAGGGCTTGAACTCAGGGCTTGGGCACTGTCCTTGAGCTTGTTTGTTCATGACTGGCACAGTACCACATGAGCCAGCTTTTTCTGGATGGTTTATGGAAGATAGGAGTCTCATGGATTTTCCTGCCCCAGTCTGGCTTCAAATTGTGATCCTTAGGTCTCAGTCTCCTGAGTAGCTAGGATTACAGGCATGAAGCACTGGCACCTGGCTCCAGATTTGTACTTTGGAAATAGGTCATAACTGGAAAACTTGAGTAAGTTTTCTTTTTTTTTTTTTCCGGTCATGGGGCTTGAACTCTGGGCCCGAGTGCTGTCCCTCAGCTCTTCAGCTTAAGGCGAGCGCTCTATTGCTTGAGCTACAACGCCACTTGTAAGTTTTCAGTACAAGCAATTTTTTTAGACCTTGACAATGGTAAAATAAGAATAAATATAGAAGTAGATAGAGTTAAAGCTGAAAATAAAAAAATAGCAATTTTTTTTTACTGTTCTTAAAATTCTTGTTATAAAGGTGATGGCCAAACAGGTCACAGGTATATAAATCAGGCAAAGAGTACATTTCCTGGGCTGGGAAGTTGGCTCAGTGGTAGAGCGTTTGCCTTGCATGCCTGAGGCCCTGTGTTCGATTCCTCAGCACCACATAAGCAAAAAGAAAAAAGCCGGAAGTGGTGCTGTGGCTCAAGTGGTAGAGCGCTAGCCTTGAGCTGAAGAGCTGAGGGACAGCTCCCAGGCCCAGAGTTCAGGCCCCACGACTGGACCCCACCCCCCCAAAAAAAAGAGTACATTTCCTTTTGTATATTGCCACCCCTTCCCTTGCTTTCTCCCAGTTTTTTCCTCCAATTCTCACTCACAAATTGCATTTTCAACATAGTGTTTAGTGAGTACCATTGCTGCATTTGTTCACCCTTTGTCTCTACATACCTTCCTGAAGTGATAGAATGTATTTTGAAAGTGAAAACATTTAAATAGTCTTGAAAGTTATCTTATATATTTATCTTAAATAAATATTTAGTTTGTGGTATGGGTCTTAAGGACATTTGTACCTTCTCATTTCATTAAAAGTTTTCTGAAAATCTTGCTTGTCCAGCAAGGCACTGGTAGCTCACACCTATAATCCTAGCTACTCAGGAGGCTGAGATCTGAGGATGGAGGTTCAAAGCCAGCCCAGGCAGGAAAGTCTGTAAGACTTATCTCCAATAAACCACCAGAAAACTGGAAGTGGCACTGTGGCTCAAGTGGTAGAGCACTTGACTTGAGCTGAAGAGCCAAGGGACAGTGCCCAGGCCCAGAGTTCAAGCCCCACATGTAACAAAAAAAATTGCATGTCTATCAAATACAAGGTCCTGATTTCAAAACCCTATTATTGCCAAAAAAAAGAGAGCAATTCTGGGTTCCTGAAAGCTTCAGGAATGCTTAGTTGCTAAATGCTTGTGGCTCATGCCTGTTAATCCTAGCCACTTAGGAGCTTGAGATCTAAGAATTGAGGTTCAAAGCCAACTTGCGCAGGAAAGTCCATGAGATAACCAGTTAACCAACAAAGAGCAAGAAGTGGAATTCTTGAGAGTTTCTGAAAACTAATGCTTTTCTGTAATATTATAACTTACCATAATTACAATCTGAGCTCTTATTTTTGCAATGGTTTTTACAGTTTTTGCAATGATTTTTACAATCATTTCAGTATGTAGGCAGTACATGTTTGATGTCATAAGACTTTAAATACTCTAAACTTCCAGAGTTTTAAAATCTGTATATTCCAGAATCACATTGTTTGGCTCAGCAACTACTATAATATGGAGATTTCATCATTTGAAGCCAGAATATCCTTGTTCTTTTTAAATTAAGTTGCTTTTGATATTTTTGGCAATTACCATTCATTTGTATGGAATTACCAGTTATTTGTATGCAATACTAAGATGATATTTAAAATAATTTATAATGTTAAATGTTCTGAAGAGGGGGCTCTATAAATTCTTTTTTAGAAGGCAGTTGAATATTTGATTTTTTCTTTCAATATTGGAATACCTAGTTCAACCAACATTTCATGACTTTTCATGATATATAACTCTGACATTTACAGATTGCTCTGAAAAGTTTTCGATGAGGCAAATGAGTAAATCAGTGCAGTTTCAAACAGGTAAGAGTAAAGAATACTGAGAAACAACTTCCTTACTTTGCAAGAAAAATCTTGAATATTAATAGTAAACCTTCAATCTAAAAAAAAAAAAAGAACATTCCTCCTGACATGTAGCTGTTCCTGTTTTTGTATCTCCTTGATGGATCAGATTTCTTCTCCAGTAGTAGGACTACATTGCAGAAATTCTCATGTCCACTTTTCAGGACACTGTTACAAAGAGGCTATCCTATGGTAGCATATTAGAAAATGTAGTGCACTATCTCTTATCTAACAGACTTTTAGTGCCAGTACTAGGGCTGAAACTCAGGACTGGGCAATGTCTCTTAGCATTTTAGCTCAAGGCTAGCCAGCCTAACACTCTTAACACTTGAGCCAGAACTCTACTTCCTGTGTGTATGTGTGTAATTGAAATAATCATGTGGTTCTTATCCTTGCTCCTGTTGATGTGATGGATTATATTAATTGACTTGTGTATATTGAATCACCTTTGCATCCCCAAGGTGAATCCTGTTTGATTGTGGTATATGATTTTTTTGATGAGTTGTTGAAGTCAATTGGCCAGAATTTTATTGAGAAATTTTGCACCCATGTTGAGTCTATAGTTCTCTTTCTTTGATGAGTCCCTACCTGGTTTGGGGATGAAGGGTTATGATGGCTTCATAGAAAGAGTTTGGTAGTGAACTTGAACTTTCAATTTAATTGAAGAGTTAGAGAAGTATTGGTGTGATTTCTGCTTTGAAGACCTTGTAGAATTCAGCTGCAAATCCATCTGGTCCTGGACTTCTCTTGGTTGGGAGGGCTCTTATTGCTGCTTCTATTTTGATGCTTGATGTGGGTCTATTGGTTTAGTTTGGGCATGTCAATATTTACTAGAAATTTGTCAACTTCTTCCTGATTCTCAAACTTATTAGCGTAAAGGTTTGAGAAGTATCCCCTAATTATGTTCTGAATCTTGGTGGTTTAAAAAAATTTTTTTTGCTTAGTTCTTGTTTTTTTTTTAAATTTTAATTAATTAATTTATTTATTTTAGTTGGTCGTGGGGCCTGAACTCTGGGCCTGGGCACTATTCTTCAGCTCTTCAGCTCAAGGCTAGTGCTCTACCACTTGAGCCACAGCACCACTTCCAGCTTTTTCTATTTATGTGGTACGGAGGAATGGAACCCAGGGCCTCATGCATGTAAGGCAAGCACTACCACTGAGACACCTTCCCAGCCCCTCTTGGTTGTTTTTGTGGTGATGTTTCCCTTCTCATCTCCGATTTTGTTTATTTGGGTGTGTTCTCTTCTTTTTCTGATAAAATTTGCTAAAGGTCTATCAATTTTGTTAATTTTTTTGAAGAACCAACTCTTTGCTGATTCTTTCCATGTTTTTTGGACTCTAATTCATATAATTCTGATTTAATTTTAATTATTTTTTTATGTCTACTGGATTGGGGTTTAGCTTAGTGCTCTTTTTCAAGGAGCGTAAGGTGCCTTGTTAAATTGTTAGTTTCAGATCTCTCCAATTTGTTGATGTAGGAACTCAGAGCTATAAACTTGCCTTTGAGTACTGTCTTTGCTGTGTTCCAGAGGAGCTGGTGATTTGTGTGTTCATTTTTGTTAAATATCATGAACATTTGAATTTCCTTTCTGATCTGTTCCATGACCCACTGGTGGTTCAACAGTGTGTTGTTCAGCTTCCATGTGTTACAGGATTTTCTTTGGTGGCTTTTGGTGTTGAGTTCTAATTGTATTCCCTTGTGGTCTGAGA